CTTTTCATATGCATCTAAGAACGCCAGGGCCAATTTCTAGCCATAGAAAATTTCAGTGCTGAACAGAATACATTGGTAATCAGAAGATAGTTTACATAAAGGTTTTAACTTTGATCATGGAGATATAGTAACACATTTATTGTAAGTGGTTTATAAATATAGCACTGCTGCCTCACAGCGCAAGGGACCCAGGTTTGATTCCAACCTCAGGTGACTGTCTGTGTGGAGTTTGCACATTCTCCCAGTGTCTGCGTGGGTTTCCTCTGGGTGCTGTGGTTTCCTCCCACAGTCCAAAGATGTGCAAGTTAGGTGGATTGACGATGCTAAATTGCCCATAGTGTCCAATGATGTGCAGGCTAGGTGGGTTAGCCATAGGAAATGCAGGGTTACAGAGATAGGGTAGGGGTTGGGTCTGGGTTGGATGCAGTTTGGAGGTTCAGTGTAGACTCGATGGGCTGAATGGCCTGCTTCTGCACTGTAGGGATTCTATGATATTTTACAACCTCAGCGCATCTCAAAATGCTTTATAGCCAATTAAGCGCTTTTGAGGTATTGTGACGTAGGTAGCACAGCAGCCAATTTGAACCCAGCGTTGTCTTATAAACAACAACATAATAATAATCAGATAATCTGTTCTTGGTGATTGATGTGATAAATACTGGCTAAGACTCTGGGGAGAATTCGCTCTTTTTTGAAACAATACCAATCTTTTTTTAAGTCTACCAGAGAAAAGTCTTAAGTTTAGCATCTCATCCAAAAGATAGCACCTCCACAGTGTAACATTTAGAGGCATAGAGCTGTACAGCACAGAAACAAACCCTTCACTCCAACTCGTCCATGCTGACCAGGTATCCTAAATTAATCTAGTTCCACTTGCCAGAATTTGGCCCGTATCCCTCTAAACCATTCATATTCATATACCCATCCAGATGCCTTTTAAATGTACCAGCCTCCACCACATCCTCTTTCAGCTCATTCCATACATGCACCACCCTCTGCATGAAAACATTGCCCCTTAGGTCCCTTTTAAATCTTTCCCCTCTCACCTTAAACCAAAGGCCTTTAGTTTTGGACTCCCCCACACCAGGGAAAAGACCTTGCCTATTTACCCTGTCCATGGCCCTCATTATTTTATAGACTTTTGTAAGGTCATCTCTTAGCCTCCAACAGACCAGGGAAAATAGCCCCAGCCTATTCAGCTTCTCCTTATAGCACCAACCCTCTGACCCTGGGCGACATCCTTGTAAACGTTTTCTGAATCCTTTCAAGTTTCACGCCCCATCAGTACTGTGCTGGAATGTGAGCCACAAGTATCTGAAATAGGAATTGAACGTACAATTGTGCAACTCAGAGGCATGTTGCATCTCCGACTCAAAGGCCAATGTTTCATTGTACAAGGCGACCTATTTTGAAAATAAAAGGAATAAAGTTCCCACGTTATTGTTTGTGGACAAACATCAAGAAAAGAAATTATAAAATAATATGCCTCAGAAGTTTGGACATCAATGAATGCTATAGCTATCCAGTTTAACATGATGACTACAAGAAATTCTGAGCTGGAGCTGCTTTTCTGTAAATTCCGTTGGTCTGAAATATGAAAGGCATGTTTTTTTTAATGAATATTTCTCGTCACTGTCTCTGTCAGAACAAATGATAGGAAGGAAATCTCAAATCCCTTTGCACTGTGTAACCTCCATATTTAGTGCTGGAGCTTTTGTTAACCTAGCCCCCTATTGCTGCCAATTGTTCCCCACCCCTAATTACCACATCCGCAGTAAGTTTTCAAAACAGTCCACTGGAAGGGTTGCCTGTTGATAAATGAATTACCATCAGAGCGCCACCTTCTGTGGCAATATAGACTGTACAAGTGGTCTTTAAATTTATTTTCATGAACCTAAATCTAAATTCCCCACACATTATTGCAAGTTAATGACTACAACAGTGGGTGGTAGCTCAACTGGCCAGAGTAAATTAACAGTGAAACAGCTTTGATTTTATTCAAACACTCTGTCCAACAGATGTCAGTTGAATCACAGTTTTCCACAAGCATTTAAAATAATTTGTCCATGCAAATTTAGTTAGATGTCAATATTTATGAAATCAAATAGAACTTACATACCTCAGGAACTCTACTATGAACCAACCCATTGCCTAAAAAACATCTATAAATCATTACTCTTTGTTCCCATCACTCAGGCATTTTTGTATCCATGTTGCTACTGTACGTTTTGTTCCATGAGATACTGCTTCAGTGCTGAGATCCTCGCTTTACCTGATGTCCCAACTCCTGTACTCAATGCCTCAACCAATGAAGGTCAGCATGCTAAATGCCTTCTGCACCACCCTGTCCACCTGTGACGCTGCTTTCAATGGACTATGTACTTGTACTCCTAGGTCCCTCTGATCCACAACACTCCTCAGGACCTTACCATTTACTATATAAGTCCTACCTTGGTTTGACTTTCCAAAGTACAACACCTCACACTTATCTGTATTGAATTGCATTTGCTAATCCTCAGCCCACTTCCCCATCTGATCAAGATCCCTCTGTAATTTTTGATAGCCTTCTTCGCTATCAATAGTACTTCCTAATTTTTTATCATTCGCAAACTTACTAAGCATGCTTTGTACATTCACATCCAGATCATTTATGTAAATAACAAATAACAAAGGAGCCAGCACCGACCCCTATGGTGCACCACTAGTCACAGGCCTCCAGTCCGGGAAACAACCTTCAACCATCACCTTCTGCTTCCCAGCATTGAGCCAATTTTGAACCAATTAGCTAGCTCTCCCTGGATCCCATGTGACGTGACTTTCATGACTAGCCTACCGTGTGGGACCTTGTCAAATGCCTTACTAAATTCCACATAGACAACATGTACTGCCCTACCCTCATCCATCCTCTTGGTTACCTCTTTGAAAAACTCTAAAAGGTTTGTCAGACATGACTTCCCAAGCACAAATCCGTGCTGAATATCACTAGTCAGACCTTGACTATCCAAATATTGGTTGATCCTGTCCCTCAGTATTCACTCCAATAACTTGCCTACCACTGATGTCAGGCTCTCTGGCCTGTAGTTCCCTGGCTTAAATAAATAAAAATAAAAACTTGCGGGGGGTAATATATTAACTTAGAGGATTAGTTGGCTGGCAGAAGGCACAGAGTATGCAGAAACAGATCTTTGCTGATTGGCAGGAGCCCTGCAGGGATCTATGCTCGGGTCTCAACTGGTTACAATTTACATATGGCTGTGATGAGGGAAGTGAAGGTATAGTTGCTAAATTTGCAGATAACATGAAGATAGGTAGGAAAGTATGATGTAAATAAGACATAGAGAAATTGCGGACAGATATAGATAGATTGAATGAATAGGCAAAAATCAGGCAAGTGGAATATAATGCAGCAAAATATGAAATTGTTCATTTTGGTAAGATGAATGTGAAAGCAGAGTATTACTTAAATGAAGAAGACTGGAGAATTCCAATGTGCAGAGGGATTTAGGTGTTCTGACTCATGAGTCACAAGTATCAGGCATAGCAATTAATCCAGAAGGTGAATGGGATGCTATGTTTTGGTATGAGAGTACTTGAACATAAAAGGAAGGATGTCATGCTACAGTTATAAAGGGTATTGGTGAGACTACATCTCAAATACTGTGTGCAGTTTAAGGAAGGATGTGAATGCTTTGGAAGTGGTTCACAAGGGATTTGCTGGCTTGATACCTGGAATGAGCAAGTTTTGTTTGGATAGGTTGGACAGACAGGGCCTGTTTCCATTGGAATTTAAAAATTGCGGGGTGATTTGATTGAAGCATACAAGATCCTGAATGCCATTGTCAAGGTAATCAAGCATATTTTCTTTTTTAGGCCCAGAATTGGTGATCACTCTTTCAGTATAGAGATGAGGATTTTGTTTTCTCTTGAGAGGGTTGGGTGACTTTTTGGAACTGTCTACCCCAGAAGACAATGGGAATGCGTGGGTGGTATGTCCAAGGAGGTCAAAGGTTGTCTGTGGTACGTGGGAATGTGGAATTCAAAACCAAGCAGATCGGCCATGACCTTATTAAATCATGAAGCAGGGTCTCTTATTTCATATATTCTTATGTAATTTAACTGCTATTCAGCATAAGGCACAGCCATTTTTAATATATAAAATATAGGTACTTTAAATATCAAGTGATATACCTTAATCCTCCTTAAAATAGTAAATAAAATTCGTGAAATTTTTCAGTAGTATGAATTCACAAATTCTTCATCTGGTAGTGACATTATGCATTTGTATTCTTTAACATTTGACAATTTGGGTGAAATCCTCCCCTCCCTGGAGGTAGTGAGAGGAGAAATAATTAAGCAGATCAGTCCTGGAATGGTATACATCCCCTTCTTGCCACCTTCACAATTAAGTTTTGGCTTGGCGTCTGTTAGGAAGTTTCTCAACCCAACACCAATTAAGGCCCTTAACTGGTCAATTACTGGTCACTTAAAGGCCTCAACACATTTTCTTCCTAACTATCCACCTTGCTTGCAGGCATGGAGAATATTCAGTTTCTGAACCGCAGCAACTTGCTTGTCACATTAGACCACGGGTTGCCATGGGAACTCCCAAGGCTTATTCTTGATCAATGGTCTTTAACAAACCAGATGGTCAGCAGCTTTTAGTGACCTGGGATGCATCAATTGGCTCAGAAACCTGTCTTTTCTTGACCCATCCCCTCTTGGTGAGCTGATTAGGATGTGATAAGTCGAGTTATCTTGGCAATGAGGCTGGCATTTTAGTTGCCACCTAACACACTCATTCCAATACTTTAACAAAAATCAGAAAATTTCGCTATGTGTCTATATGTCTAATATTGTCTTGAAACAATACTTTCTCTTCAAATTTCAATTATACATTTGACTGTTTTCACATATTACTGTTGTATTGTTCTAACTTATGTTTATATAAAACAAAAAGATGCTTGATGTTGACTGCAGTGTTTTTTGTTCTTTGATTTTAGGGCCTGGGAGGAGGAACCGGACAAACCATAGCATAACGTTGGAAAGCTGGATACGTGATTCTCAACATAAAAGCACATATATCTCCAGTACTGGAGAAGTGGAACCTCTGTTAACTAATAGCACAGTTATAGAAAAAAATGAATTGACCCCTTCTTCGATACTAGTTACTGACAGTTCCCAAAATCCTTCAGCAGCCACGACTTCACGATCAGAATCTGAAGAAAGTACTACATTTGATTCTGAACCAACAGATCATTCATACTCTACGGTATCTTCAAGAGAAATTGCATCTACAGAGCTTTTTGTTTCTAACAGTCATCTTTTAAAATCACCTGTCGTTAATGAGACTTCAAGAAAAGGTGAAGAACTTGAAAACTGGCATCTTGACACAACATCTGAAGGGGCTGATAATCTTGAAAGGTTGTTAAGTACTTCACATGGTGTTTCTGAAGAACCCTTATATACTGTCCCATATGTTTTAAAAATACCTCTAAATACTTTGCCAATTGGATCTAAAAGATATTTAACTACTGAATTGAACAATCCAGAAAGATCTGTAAGTACATCAATAAATGATTCAGAAATATTTAGTATTTTACAAAATATTTCTGCGAAGTCTTTAAATAGCACACAGAACTATACTAATTGGTCTTCAAGCACTTCACTGAAAGATTCTGAAAGAAGTACTTTGACAAATGTTTTTAAAATCTTTCCAAACTTTTCACAAAGTAATACTGATAGAACTTTAAGTACATTGCCAAATTATTCTAAAAGAACGAATACTTCGATAAATGATGTTAAACGATCTGTAAGTATTTTGCCAAATGATTCTAAAACAGCTACGGTTAGTGTTCAAAGTGATTCTGGATGGTCAAGTACATTGATTAATGCTTTTGCAAGCTCCTCAAATTCTTCACCAAGTGATACCGAAGAAGCAGGTACTACACTGAATGATTTGACAAGATCTTCAAGTACTTCGTCAAATGATTCTAAAATATCTACAATTCATGCTCAAAATGCTTCTGAAAGTTCAACAACGTTGACGAATATTTTTGAGAACCCTTCAAACTCTTCAAGTGATACTGAAATATTGAGTACTTTGATAAATGATTTTAAAAGGTCTGTAAGTACTTCGCCAAATGATTCTAAAATTTCTACAATTCATGCTGAAAATTCTTCTGAAAGTTCAACAATGTTGACAAATATTTTTCAGAGCCCTTTGAACTCTTCACGAAGTAGTACTGAAATGTCAAGTACTTTGATAAATGATTTTAAAAGGTCTGTAAGTACTTTGCCAAACGATTCTAAAATTTCTACAGTTAGTGCTCAAAATGATTCTGAATGGTCAAGTACGTTAATTAATGCTTTTGAGAACTACTCAAACTCTTCACCAAGTGACACCAAGGGACGAAGTACTACACTTTATGATTTGAAAAGATCTTTAAGTACTTCATCAAATGATTCTAAAATATCTACAATTCATGCTCAAAACGCTTCTGAAAGTTCAACAATGTTGACAAGTATTTTTCAGAGCCCTTTGAACTCTTCACGAAGTGATACTGAAATGTCAAGTACTTTGATAAATGATTTTAAAAGGTCTGTAAGTACTTTGCCAAATAATTCTAATATGTCTACAGTTAGTGCTCAAAATGATTCTGAATGGTCAAGTACGTTAATTAATGTTTCTGAGAACTACTCAAACTCTTCACCAAATGATTCTGCAAGATCAAGCATTTCAATGAATGATTTTAAAAGGTCTTTAAGTACTTCACCAAATGATTCAAAAATATCAATAAGTAGTGCTCAAAATGCTTCTGAAAGTTCTAGTACTTTGACAACTGTTTTTGAAAGTTCTTCAAACTCTTCATTGAGTGATACTGCAAGATCTTTAAGCACTTCACCAAATTATTTTAAAAGATCTTTAAGTACTTCATTGAAAGATTCTGAAAGATGGAGTTCTTCACCAAATGTTTCTGAAAGTACCCTACTTAATGGTCAAAATGACTCTGAAAGCTCAATGAGTGCTTCACTAAATGATTCTAAAAGTTCATTAGGTTCTACACCAAATAATTCTGAAAATTCTTTCAGTACTTCATTGAGCAGCTATGAAATTCTCAATACTACAACAAATAGTTCTGAAGAGACAACTCATTCACATTCAACATCCATTCCTATGGATTTTGATAATGTTACCCATAGGTCAGATGCAGTCAAGTCACCAGATATTCTATCCTCAGAGTCAGTTGATACTCAGACAAATGGTTCAAGATCAACAAGTGACTCCATTCTTATTTCAGATGTTGAAAGCATAACTGCCATTACAGCAACAAGTCATTCACTTCCCAGAACTACAGATGATATCTTAAATACTACTGTACTGTCTGAAATGTACAGTATTACTAACTTAATTGCAACAGCTTTGTCTTCAGTGCCATCAGATTCTGAAGGCATAGTGAATGATTTTACAGTGTTAAGTTCTAACTTTACTGCAACTAATTCTTCTAAACTAGGTTTAGTTGAAGCAGAAACTAATGGTTTTCTTAAAACTCAATTTGCAAAAACAACAACAAGCACTAATCTGAGGCATGTATTTCCTGAAAGGCCAACAGACTCTCCCAGAACATCACTGCCTCCGACAAAAAATGCTTATCTGTCATTTTCTACCATGGAAACACCTATCAGAGAAGTAAGAAGAACATCCTCGGCACCAATTGTAATTACATCTAGGACTCATACTGGACGATATCCAAAAATTTCACAGGTTCCCACTGACACACCAAAGCCTGAACTAATTGGTTCAACAGAAGGCACATTTGCCACTTTATGGGCCAGGCCAACTGTTTTTATGAGTACCTCAACAGGGGATAAAAGAACAGACAGGACTAAATCTACAACTGCTATTATGAAGACGTCTGAACCAGTGAGTACGAGAACTTCAGTTAGCTTGAAGTTTTTGACAAGCGCAAGGTCTTCAACGAGCACAAGGACTTCAGCTATCACAAGGATGCCAATTAGCACAACCTTGCTAACAAGCACAAAGATTTCAGAAAGTACCACAATTATTCCCATAAGGACTTCGACAAGCACAAAGCCTCATTCTACTAAAGGGACCATTACTCCTGAGCCAACTGTGTCAACTGTGATTCAGGTTACCAGTACAAGTACACCTGAAACCTCCACAGTATCTGCAGGTATGTTGAATTATGACCATGATTTAGTGTAAATAGCATTCACAAAATTCCTAACATATACTTAAAGCTGAATATTTTTAGTTTCCTAACGAGATTTGATTGGTCAGTAATTACTAAAATTTTAATAATGGTTCCACTGGCAGATAATAATTATTATCTTTGTTATGATACATATACATGATTGTTAGAAACACTGGGATTAAGATGCCAGAATGGGAAATTGTTCAGGCAGTATGGACAAATACTGCCTGAATAATTAAAATATCAGAAATATAGCGAAATAATGAGGATACAAATGAATATAGAATAATTCAGAGTGAACATGAAGTAGTGGTGGTACTCCTACATGTAAGGAATACCTGAGATGTAAATAGTTTTGGTACAATGAAAGAATGGAAACTGCAGAAAGACTAATAGGCTAATTGCTCAGATATACATACTATTTAATATGAGGACTGTGCTAAAATGTACCAAAGTGGAATAAAATAAGAAAGAAGTTTGTTTACAATGATATTGGTGTGTGAGAACACCAAAATTGCTCCAATGAAAATAACTAGAGAATCCCAGTTTTGTTTTGGTTAATCTGCTTTTGGAATATTGTGAGCCGTTTTGCGCCCCATAACTAATCTAAGGATATGCTGGCCTTGGAGGGGGTCTAAAGGAGGTTTACAAGATTGAATGTGGGGATGAAGGCCTTGTCATATGAGGACCGATTGACAACTCTGGGTCTGTACTCAATAAAGTTTAGAAGGATGAGGGTATCTGATTGAAGCTTACAGAATCCTGACAGGCCTGGTTAGAGTGGATGTGGAGAAGATGTTTCCGCTAGTCGGAGAGACTAGGACCCGAGACACAACGCCAGAATGAAGGGACAACCGTTTAGAACTGAGATGAAGAGGAATTTCTTCAGCCAGAGGGTGATGAATCTGTGCGAGCCATTGCTAAAAGGTTGTGGAGACCAAGTCATTGAGTGTATTCAAGACAAAGATAGATAGATTCTTGATTAGTAAGAGGATCAAGATTATGGGAAAAGGCAGGAGAATGGAGTTGAGAAACATATCAACAATGTTGGGGCTTTCCACAGCACCCAATATTTGGCATGTATCAGACTAGATGCAGCACATAGTCTGTGCCACCCACCTAACACCTATTCCTGTCTCCTCTCTGCACCCTGTCCCCCACCACACAACACCCCAAGTACCCTCCAAAACACCAACACCAAACCATGTTCACATAAGCCTCCTCAATGGCCATGTGAATTGTACTAGGGGCTTGCTATCCCCAATATACTGTAGTGAAGGAACACTGGCATTGTCCATAGCCTTCTCCTCTCCAACCCATATAGCTTTCTGTAGTCGTTTCCTCCTCTGGTCTTTCGCAGCTTATGGATGTCTTGTGCTCATTTCCCTTGCAAAGATAAGAGGAAGATGGAGTTTTAGTCAGTAAGGAAATGAAGCGTTATGGGGAAAAGGCAGGAAAGTGGAGTTCAGATTATTAGGTCAGCCATGATCTCCTTGAATGGCGGTGTAGATTCAGTGGGCTGAATCGTCTGTTTCTGCTGTTATGTCTCATGGTTTCATGGACTTATGGAGATAAGACAGTGGTATGCTGCGTAGAGAAGGCCACTCGTCCACATAGTTTAAGAGACCATTTATTAAACAGTAACCAAATCCATAAACACTCGCACTGTGTCATTATCCTTGACATGATCTCCTCCATGTTTGAGAAGCAACATTTGCTTTGTGGTTCCCAGCTGCTGTGCATGTTCCAAGCTGCAAACCAAAGGGAAGACAACTAATAACTGGAGATGTTACTCACTTTTCCAGAATGCAGCAAGTCATGAACCTCTTAGGTTATTACACCCATGTTCACTGGGGCTCCCCACCTTGGTGATTTGGACCAATACCAGCTCAGGGCCAGCTGGAGACCTGAGAGGTACAGGATATCCATTTGTCAACAGCTGCTTGCAAGAGTAGATCAAGGTCCTGGTCAAGAGATTTTGGAGCAGATGAGCCTTGGCTGTCTTGGTTGATTGATTGCTGAAAAATTCAGACACTGGAGGAGAAGAGATGCATGGATCATTTTGCGTGAGGTACATTTAGCTTGGCATGAGAATATGGGAGTGAGGGAGTCTTTGAATAATAGTGATGGGTTTGCCATCTGTAAGCTTAGTGATCTCACCATTATTGTAGGAATGCCAATATAGCATGATTTGATACTGTGAAGCAAAGTTCTGGAATGGAGGTATGGTGTTGATAGTGTGTTTAGTTAAGAGTATCTTGAAGGGCAACTTCAAAAAAGTGTAAGGCTAGGAACAGCCAGAGAGTGCTCAGTTGTTGTCCTCTGTTAGTGTTGTAGGGATAGAGATAATGTGAGGGGTTTTGTAGGGTTCAGGACTTAATGCTTAATCGGCCTGCCTCCACTGGCGATGGTGGAGGATTTGTTATCTGTGAAGGGAAAGTCTCAAGTAGCTAGTAAGGAAAGGCTGCAGAAAACAAATCTTAAGGTGACAACATTTTCAGAGATAGTGACGATGAGATACAGGCAGCAACAGGTAGTTGTGCAGATATTGAAATGACTGATCTGGATGCTGGCTGGGTTTTATAGCTAAGCTCAAGGTCAAACAACGTAACAGTTTATTAAAGTTCAGGCTCAGCTCAAAGAGGCTGCATGAGTGAGGAATGAAGTCCAAAGATGAATTATAGAATTTTTAGGAGAAACCAAACAGATTAGTTACAAACTTGCCAATATTGTGTAGAAGAAAAAGCCTCCATCTCCAGGACCTGATGTCAGCTCAGCTGTCAGAAAGCCTAAAGAGTTTGATGATAACTTGCTTCGACTCTTGTTTACAGGGTTATCAGTTGGCTGATAAGTGCAATGTGTGTTATTCAGACTTTGATGCATGTGGATAAATGATGCTTGGATGATTGGGTGAATGAGTCTTTTGGAGCCAGGTACACCCTCTTAGGTCGCCCCTTGTGTGAAGAAAACCCAGTGAAGACTCTCGATATGTCTGATGCTTTCTCAATTAATCCCTCTCCATTTTGGTTAGTCCCAGGCCAGGGAATCAGTGGGGGTTTTTAACCTCTCAGGAATCCTTTGAGGTTATCCCTGAAATGTTTCCTCTGGCTTCTCTGGAGTCTTATGCCATGATTGAGTTCTGTGTAGAGCAATTGCTCCAGGAGTTTGGTGTAAGGCATGCTATCGATATGTCCTGCCTGGTGTAACTGGTTTTAACTGAGCACCTTATTGCCGAGCATTTTAACTTGGGAGAGGATGGTGCCATAGACTGTTTCTTTTTTGCTGGATTTAGAAGACCTTGTGAATGGCACGTGGGTGGCACGGATGCTCAGTGATTAGCACAGCTGCCTCACAGTGCCAGAATCCCATGTTCGATTCCAGCCTCTATGTGGAGTTTGCACATTCTCCCTGTGTCTGCGTATGTTTCCTCTGGGTGCTCCAGTTTTCGCCCACAGTCCAAAGATGTGCAGGTTAGGGGCTTTGGCCATGCTAAATTGCCCACAGCGTCCAGGAATGTGCAGGCTAGGTGGATTAGCCATGGGAAATGCAGGGTTACAGAGATAGGGTAGGGGTGTGTGTCTGGATGGGATGCTCTTCAGAGGGGCAGTGTTGACTCAATGGACCCAATGGCCTGCTTCCATACTGTGGGGATCCTATGATTCTATGATTGTGAAGGCATAGCTGATAGTACTTTGACAATCTACCTCAAAGCACTGGACAATGTGATGAAAGAATCATGTATCAAAGCACAAAGATAGATATGGATTCAATCAACATGGACTTGAAAGCTGGCCTCACAGTTACAAATGAGGTCACTGTGTCTGTAGATGAAGTAAATGGGGATCGAAGTTGGCGCTTTGTGGATGTGGTATAATGGTCATAACAGTACAGGAGCAGAAGTGGGAGTAGCTATAGGAAATCTGCTGGTTTTATTTGAATAGTTAGGAGTGAAACAGTCGAGCAATGTTGGAGTGGAACAATGACATGGGGATGAATCCTAGAAAAGAGATGATTGAGGAGAATGGAGTGAATAATTGTGTCACTTAGTAGTGAATACCTTTGATGACAGTCTTGACAGAAGTCCCAGCAGAATGTGTCATTCCAGCTGAAGGTTCATAGTGTTGAAACTGAAAAACAGAGGGCATGAGGAGAAAGTGGAAAATTATTACAAAGAATAAGGGTCAAATTCATAAAACGTTTGATGCTGTGATAATTACAATTTCTTTCCTTCTGTTAAAATTCTGTCCAACAGAAGTCATATTAACGACCTTTCCAGATGGCAAAATGTCATTCATAGGACATAACTGCATGTTTGGGTTTACCACGTAAGAATGGAATAGAATGAGAAATCGAGTGCCCTTGTGCTGTTTTTGAAATCTGAGTCATATAGAAGATACTTCAGTATCACTGAGCAGGTCATGGAATTCAAAAGGGAAAGATAGCTTTGGTTGTGCCTAATATTTCCTAGTGACTGTCTAGTAGCCTATAGCAATGGCATGGGAGTAAGCTATGCATCTGCTTTCATATTTGTGGTGGTATCAGATCAAGTAGATGATGAAGTGCCTAAAATATATTGGAAAGGCGAAAGAAAAACAACTGAAAAAATCTCTAACAAGTAATCTTTTAAAGAAACTATTCTTGTTATTTCTAAATTGTCTTGACTGATTTTTAAAAAATTATTTTTAGTAGAAAATAAGAAGTAACTCTCATATTGCTGTGACTGAGCCTCAATAGTATAAAAACTGGCAAATCATTCAAGTCATGAACTTACTAAAGTGAAGCAAGATGCATTCCAAACCCAATTATTTTTGCTCAGTTTTTGCTGATTTATCCAAATTTCACTGTTGAACCTGGTCACTATCTTGTCTAGGGCCATTACAGGTGGGCAATAAATGCTGGTCCAATCTATGACACCTACATCCCATGAGTGAATAAAACAAAAGTAAAATTCAGCATTGCTATTTTGAGATAAAATATTGCTCCTCCAACAGAATTCTATTATGTTGTTATTTTGTCATATGGAAGTATTTACAATGTGGACATCTGAAGGATTGTTTTAATTATTTTACTTAACATTAAAAGGGGAAATTGTACTTCTTATAAAGCTGTGAACGTGAATGTGTATGTATACACATCCAATAACTCATTTGAATTATAAAAGATCAGATGCTGCTTCAGCAATATTTCAAGTCATGATGTTTTTAATCACTGTCTGAGATATATCATTTTAAATATTCTACACTGAAATTGAACAAGGTAGTATTTTCCTGTGTATATGCAATACAGAATAAAATATAAGGTAATTATATGACTTGTGCAGGTTAAATATGTCTGAAACCCACACTTAACATTCACATTTTTTACTGATGCTGTAATACTGGAGGGTTTAACAAATTTTTTTCCCTCAAATGCATTTGTGATTTTTTATTTTTTTCATAGACTGGACCTGGCAAGTGTTAGCTCCATGGATGATATTGATATTCACAGTAGAACCGCAGTGTTACTGATATGTCGCCAAGCACAATATAATCTACTCCATAAAAGTATATCCCTGATCCAAGCATAGAATTCCAATCTTCCAAATCACTTCCCATTCACCTCCCATTCCATTTTGATCCAGACACAGCATTTATTTTGCAATCATCGTCCAAGTGTATAATGCTCCCTTGTTATTTGTACTTCAAACTTAACAGTCAACATTAGCAGGCAAGAATTGCAGTGATTTTTCACAAACTACCCTATGATTATACTGTATTCTATTTTGGTTCAATGATATCATTTTTTGATGCATAGTGATATGAACCATGTCGATGCACCAAAAGCAACCTGTATTTGTTAAACAGTTCATGATTAAAGTTGAATCAGAGATAGTAGGAACTGCAGATGCTGGAGAATCTGAGACAACAAGGTGCAGAGCTGGATGAACACAGCAGGCCAAGCAGCATCATAGGAGCAGAAAGGCTGACGTTTCGGGCCTAGACCCTTCATCAGAAATGGGGGAGGGGAAGGGGTTTCTGAAATAAATAGGGAGAGAGGGGGAGGTGGATAGAAGATGGATAGAGGAGAGGATAGGTGGAGAGGAAACAAACAGGTCGAAGAGGCGGGGATGGAGCCAGTAAAGGTGAGTGTAGGTGGGGAGTTAGGGAGGGGATAGGTCAGTCCAGAGAGGATGGACAGGTCAAGGGGGCGGGATGAGGTTAGTAGGTAGGAGATGGGGGTGCGGCTTGAGGTGTAAGTATTTGAAATTTTTAATTGTTACAAGAATATTCAGTAGGATATAAAATAATTTCTGAATTGAAGTGCTTAAAAACCAAATGCATCAAGGGTGATTTGAATGTATTTGGTTGATTTGTTGAATACACTTTTTTAGTTCTGTTGTGTATACTGCAGTGTATACATTTTCAGAATACACTGTGCCTTCCAAGCTACTTTTTTCTGAAGAACAAAAAATATCACCTCACCTGAAAAGCTCAAAAATATAGAAATCTAAGTTGCTGCTTAAAACATACAGTCATGTTTTTGCAGAGCTGCGTTATGAAGTTTCACACAGCCAAGCTTTACAATAATTTAAAAACATGTACATAAATTTTATCGGTACATTAGGTAAAACAGTTATTTATACTGAAATCAAAGTCTCCTGAAGTTTTGAAATCAATCTGTTACTAAAAGGATTATAATTCAGAGATAAAAAGTTGATCAATGTCTTCTTATTCAATTATTTAACCCTTATATTTCTAATCAACTCTTGATACATCATTATAGGCCCCAGTTTTATCAGAATTTGTAGTATTAGAAGGTGGCTGTTTTACTTTTTAACTAACCAAAAAATATTCTGACCCAAGTATAACTGTTTTGCAAAAACTAATCCTACTTACTAGGTTAACCACACTGATGAAAATAGGTAGTAAAGGATTGCTGATTGTAACATTGTGTGCTTGGAAGAAAGGAACAGCCTATACATTAAATAACAAAGTATTAAAGATACATCCATTTTTCAATCTCTTGATTTTGATATCTATTTTATTAATTATAATTGCTTGCAGTATATGTGTGTCAGCCACCGGGCAACCCCAGTTCACTTGTGACATTTCCTTGGTCTTTCTTTGCAGAAAGCCAACCTACAGCTTATTAAACATTGCATTCACTCATTCACTATGTGCAATGCATCTTAACCTTGATAGAGTGAAGCCAAATAGAATTCAGATAGGTTTTTTAGGTTTTAATTTTAATTTAAATTTAATATTTTTACCTTGTGAAAGATGCAGTTAGATTTTACAATCATCTTCCGTACTTAAAAGGACAGCAAATAGAATGAAAGAAACATCATTGTGAAAACAACCAATCTCAACCAGCATCAAATAATATTCAGTAAAGTATTTTCAGAGGTAAGCCTGTCATGGGATGCTGGAGAGAAATTTTATAGACAGGTTTCTTCACACTGAGCTGAAAAATGCTTTGCGTTCCTGTCATAGGCATACTAGATACAAGGACATCTTGGAAAATAAAGTCAAGGTATGTAATATCCCTGGATAATGGGAGAGATTATTAGGATGTAATGCGGCAATATCCTACATACCAGTGACTCTTAAATGGAAAACAAGCATGTAATGAGAAAGCAAGAAGATTGCAAACCAGCTGCAGCAACCAACTGACTTGAAACAAAGCGTCCTACAAAGTAATGAGCGTCTGAATAACGACAAATAATAAAACTTTTGAGTTCTTAGTCATTCTCAAAATATGTGAATTTGGTTGTTAACTCTTAACTATTGATGTTGTAGCTTGTTGTATATTTAACTCTGTAATTGCTGAATAAGGATATTTTGTACTATGATTCTTGCATTTTCAGATCAGAAACAAATTGCTGAAACTCCCTTTGATGAAAGCTCTTTCCAGTGTTCAGTTTTATATCTATCCGTAGCATTTGATGTGAACAGGAATTGATGTTTCTAAAGATAACCATCAGAGGGCAGTAGTTAAATCAGTCGATGGAACTGTACCATCATTCACTTTATTTTGTCACCTTTTGCAATATAAACCATAACTTGAAACTCTGAAAAGTTTTTTTATTCACAATATATCTCCTGTTTGCTATCCATTTTTGTGCAATATTCTTTGCTTACATTGTCAGTCTTTACTTTCTAAGAAATGTGAATAGACAAACGATGTCTGGAAGTATGCATTATTTGAAAACTGCTAGTTTCTTTATATCAGTGTGAGGTTATTACTACAAACATTGTATTTAAGTACTCAGTCAGTATGCTGGAATACCATTTAGACAGAAATTGAACTGTGTTAACAATTGAGAAGTTACATTTCTTGCAGTTCAACATTCCCTTTTAAATCACTAAAATTTGCACTTTCTTTTGCCTTTAGCAGATAGCTGATTTGTCTTGAATGAACTGGTTGCTAATGTTGCAAATATATTAGAATATATTAGAATGAAACAAAGAGTCCACTGCTCAATAAACTCAATGTTAATAAATTATTTATTTTCTTTGAAACAGAGAATCTTTGCACCTCAAAACCCTGTCTTAATGGAGGCACTTGTATCAGTAATTGTATTAAATGTAGAAAGTGTGTATGCCCACCCAACTGGCAAGGAGTGAACTGCAGCAAAGGTAAAATATTCTGCAATGATCTGTTAAAAAACATCTTGTAAGAGCAATGCATCATGCTGGTAGTTCAACAAAATTGGAATAAGACCATTAGTGGAGATTTTCCTTCCCTGCTGAAGCACATGCAATGGCAAGAAAGGTCAGAGCCCATAATCAACACTGAAGTCAGTGGGTTCTTAGGGTTAAATGGATCAAACAGTATGGGAGAAAGTGGGAACAAGATACTGAGCTGAATGATCAGCCATGATCAATATGAATGGTGAAGCAGGCACTAGGAAAGCAATGTGAACTATACAGAGGCTGGCAGCCTCCAAGTAATTACAATGAAGGAGCGTTAAGAAAGCAAGTGGCATAAGATGCATCTTGTGTAGGCGTGTGAGCTATGTGTGTGTGTCCCTGTGCAAAGTCTTAGTTGTCCCCGAGTCCAAAGTAATGTGTTAAAGGATGATGTGTGTGAGTTGGCTCAAGAGCATGCATGATGATGTGGTGAGCCAGGTGGCTGTAAATGTGAATGAAAATATGTCAGATTCTGATGTCAAGAAAATCTTTCCCTTCAACTTTCACACTTCTAACAGCAACTTCATAAGCTTGCAGTTGAGAGGCAGCTGCATTATTTCCATGTATTTGTATCTTAGTAAAGACCCACTCGTTTTATTAAACACCACTTAATATTCTCCACTTGTTTCCTGAAATTACTCAAATGTAAGTCACAGCAATACACCTGCTGGCTACAGCTTTCTGAAATTTGTTGCAGCAATCATTAAACTGTTTCTTCACAGATGTAGAGTCAATAAATGTGGAGCTGGAAAAGCACAGCAGGTCAGACAGCATACAAGCCCTCTTCACTGGACTATCCTTGCATGCTCTATGGTAACCATCCTCCCTAACTTTTCATCCACACCATTGGCATTAGCCACCAAGCTCACCACATCATCATGCCTGCTGTCGGACCAACACATACACACCCCATCACCCTTCAACATGTTAATACAGTGTGGAGCTGGAGGAGCACAGCAGGAAGGTGTAAACGCAAAATGTCGACTTCCCTGCTCCTCTGATGCTGCCTGACTTGCTGCACTCCTCCAGCTTCACACTGTATTGATTCTGGCTCCAGCATCTGCAATTCTTGCTATCTCTCTTCAACATGTTACTTTGGAGCTCAGGGACAACTAGGATTTGCACACTTCTGGTAGGATGCTTTACAACAGGGACAACACACACCTCATGTATCTGTATGGGTGGAAATACCAAATACAAGGGACCTAGGTTGAAAATGAGAGGGGAAAAACTTAAAGGAGATGTATGAGGAAAATATTTTATACAGAGGGCAGTAGATACCCGAAACACGCTGTCAGGAGAGGTGGTAGAAGCAGATATAATAGCAAAGTTTGAGAGGCATTTAGACAGACAGATGAACAGGCAGAGTAGTGAGGGATACGGACCATGAACAAAGAAGAACAAAGAACAAAGAAAATTACAGCACAGGAACAGGCCCTTCGGCCCTCCAAGCTTGTGCCGATCCAGATCCTCTATCTAAACTTGTCGCCTATTTTCCAAGGATCTGTATGCCTCTGCTCCCTGCCCATTCATGCATCTGTCTAGATACATCTTAAATGATGCTATCGTGCCCGCCTCTACCACCTCCGCTGGCAACGTGTTTCAGGCACCCACCACCCTCTGCGTAAAGAACTTTCCACGCATATCTCCCTTAAACTTTTCCCCTCTCACCTTGAAATCGTGACCCCTAGTAATTGAGTCCCCCACTCTGGGAAAAAGCTTCTTGCTATCCACCCTGTCTATACCTCTCATGATTTTGTAGACCTCAATCAGGTCCCTCCTCAACATCCGTCTTTCTAATGTAAATAATCCTAATCTACTCAACCTCTCTTCATAGCTAGCGCCCTCCATACCAGGCAATATCTAGGTGAACCTCCTCTGCACCCTCTCCAAAGCATCCACATCCTTTGGTAATGTGGCGACCAGAACTGTACGCAGTATTCCAGATGTGGTTGAACCAAAGTCCTATACAACTGTAACATGACCTGCCAACTCTTGTACTCAATGCTCCGTCCAAATGTGCGTAATCCAAAAGGATTGGTTTAGAATAGCATCATGGTCAGCACAGACATGGTGGGATGAAGGGCCTGTTCCTGTGCCATACTGTTCTTTGTTCCATTTCTCACCTGTGTGCTGCCTCTCATTCACGTTATTCCAAATACAAGGCATCAACTTTCTTACATTGACAACACTCAGCTCTCCTTCACCAACATAACTCTCGTTTCAGCAATAGTAGAAAAATTATCAGATTATTGTCCACATCCAATGCTAGATGGGCAGCAATTTACTCCAGTTAAATATTGGGGAGATCAAAAGTATTAGTATTGGTCCCCATTACAAACTGCATCCCATAGCTACCAGTTTATTTCTTGGTGACTACTTTGGCCTGAACCAAACTGTTCACCATCATGGGTCAAACTTCAATCTTAGATTTTCTTCTGATTGCATATCTCTGCCGTCACCAAGACTATCTATTTTCAACACTGTGCTACCAATAGACTTGGCTATATCAATGCAATCCTGACTAGTCGTCAACTTAGAACCCTTTGAAAAGTTGAAGCCAACCAAAACTCTGGTGCCATTACCCTTATCCTTTTCATGCATCACCCCTGTATTCACTCACATTAGCAACCAAATCAAGCAGTATTCCAATGTAAACATTCCTTGTTTTCAAATTCCTCCATGGCCTTACCTGTGCCTATATCTGTAATTCCCTCCAATCACACAACCCTGCAAGATATCTGTGCTCCTCTAATTCTCAATTCTTGAGCATCCAGATTTTACTTGCTCCGTTGTTGGGATCCATGCCATCAATTGCTTCATAAAGCTGTTGTGCAGTATTTAGGAATATTTTGTTACATCAAAGATGCCAATTAAGTTGTTGTTGTCCATTGAACAGGTGGCACAGCAAGTCACTTGTTTCAACTTTCAACACAGTCTAAGATGCTAGCAGGAAGTGAAGAATAATGGAGATACTTCATATCCCTGCGACAGAAATAAAAGCAAATAAAACTTCACGTCATCATCTAAATTTAGAAATGTTCAATTATTATTTTAATTATAGTTTGCATCTTTGTGTAATTTACTTAGCATCATCTTATTTTAGTTTGTATTATTGTGTTGTAAGTGACTTTTTAATGAAATAAGCTCCCTTCTTTAAACTGTTTTTTTGTTACTTCTAATCCAGTTTTAATTTTTGCTTCATAATTTGTCCTTTCTTTAAGCAGATGTGGATGAATGTCTTTCAAATCCATGTCCATCTCGGGCAAAATGTGTTAATAATTTGGGCTCCTTCACTTGCAAATGTTACCCTGGTTACTACCTTGAGAAGGGAACACGATGCACTTTGGGTAAGAAAATGATTTGTTTCTCTGGAGAAGCAGTTCATGGAGCCCTTAGCTTCTGTCATGCAAGAGATATTAGAAATGAATTTTAAAAAGCTTAAATTTGCCTTCACCTGACTTTTCTATGCTGTCCTTATTAGCCAAACCATTTGCACAGCCACACAAACTGCAACATACTTCACCTTAAGAGAATCAGAAGATCACAGAATTTTGGAACAGGATGCCTGTTTGTAAGAACTGCTCATCTAATCCTGCTTCCCAGTAGTCCTGAATTTTTTCCTCAAGTAGTTATTCAGTTCTCTTTGAAAATCATAATTAGACCTGCCTCCACTGCATTTTCAAGGCGTTCCAGATCCTGTGAAAATACTTTCCTGATGTGCGCTTCACTTGATTTGCCATTCGGCTTGTATCAATGTCTTTTGATTCTAGGCTCTTTTGCCAATAGTCTTTTTCCTACCTGTCTATTTTATCCAGATCCTTTATTATTTTGGATACCTCTATCAAATGTCCTTTAAATGGGAGAACAACTCCAGCAACTCCCATATCTGAATTCACGTTCCTGGAACCATTCTCATTTTGTTTGTCCTCCACCTTTACATCCTTTTCCAGCATCCACAGTATTTTGCTTTTATTTGACTGATTTTATATTATATAGTGTGTGCTGCCTTGTATCTTGTAAAGGTGTGGTTCTTTAGGGGCTTAATAGTTTAGTGCATCTGAGGGTAGTCAATTTCTGGTCTTATATGAAGAGTCTTGTAGATTAAATATAGCTGATTGCATTTCTGCAACTATTTAGAGAGTATAAGAATGCACTCTATATTACTAGGAAAATTGTTAGGAGAACTGAGCCTTAGGTCAGTTTGGCTTCAGTGGCTGGCTCAGCATTTATCGCCCATTCCTAGTTGCTGTTGTGCAGGTAGTTGTGAGCTGCCTTCTTGAACTACTACAGTTTATTTGATGTACTTGGAGCCATAGAGCTAGTAGGGAGGGAGTTCCAGGACTTTGACTCAGCAGCAGTGAAAGAATGTGATATGGTGCCGAGTCAGAATGGCGTACATCTTGGAGGGGAACTTGCAGGTGATAGTGACCTCAAGTATCTGCTGTCCTTCTCCTTCTCAGTGGTGTTGATTAAGTGATAAGTCATTAGGCAGGACACCAGCAAAAATCTCCTTATTTTCTCTGAATAGTTTTTTGAGTATCTTTGTAGACTAATGTGACTTGATTTAACATCTGATAGAATGCACCTCTGAATGTTGCTCTGAAGATTTGAAAGTAAAGCCATATCTGAATAATCTGCTTTTCAGTTTTGTATAGGTAGTTGTTTAAATGTATTCTGTTTTTTATTGTTCCATAGCAAGGACCTTTGCAGGTATTTTCTACAGTGGCAACAAATCCCGTGTTTCAAGAATGCAGGATCTAGAAAGTGAGATTTTAAAAATGGTAAGTTTGGCTTGAAAAACACTGATGACATGAATATTTAACAATCTCTGAAACACATATTTTTAATAAAGGTACTTTTAAATCTTTTTTCTCTGTTTCGTGACCTGTGTTGGTTAACATTGCTTATCTAGGTTGGTTATACATAATTCTATAACTTGCCTCTGTCTTGCATTGACTTTTGAAGAGCCCTTCCATCTTGATTTAATATATTTAAAAATATGAAAGGCAAGTTTGTAAACCACCAATAAAAAATGAAATATGCTATTTACCCACCATTTATGTATGTGATCAGAGTTTGCTGTATTTAGCGTGACGTGCCTGCCTCAGTAGACTAATGATCTCATTATGCAATGGCATCTGGTACTATGTTGAAAATATGCTGTCAGCAGCTTGGCAAGAAGTTGTCGGTTAGTATTCTCTCCCTAATGTCTTTATACCATCTTCATGTTTGCTTTTGTCTCAGTCTTTTCTTAGACAATTCTTTATGCAATAATTTTCCAACTTGAATTTGTTTTTTTTTGCTTTTTTTGTTCTTTCCAACCTTAGGAAAATGTTATGAGGTTGAAGATGTTGCCAAGTACTAAAGGTGTGAGGCAATGAAGTTGGCTAAAGTATTGAAGCCTGCCTCAGGCATTGCAAATTTCATATAAAAATTACATGAAAGAATTAGTGATTGGGGGAGGAACTCAACATGTAGTTTTCTTCAAACTTTAAATATCTGAAGGAATTTATTGGTGTGTTTTGTAACCTTGGTAGCATTTTAGCTTGACTTTCTATATATGTACTTGCCAAACAGAATGGTATATTTCAATTGTCTAATATAACTTAGACTAACCAAAGAACTAACATGTCATTAAATTACGGTGGAGCTTAAGCATGCAAGCAATGGGCCCAGAAGTATACATTGCTTTGTGGCAAGCAAACATGTGGTTAGAATTCCTCCATCTCATGTCAATTGATGCTGCAGCTGTTTTTAGGATAGGAAATAAAAACTTGGTGTTTTACTGGATTTATTTAATAATTACATGTAAAATAATGCACAAGTACTGAGGGCTAGAGACTTTAGAATACAAGAATTTAAAATTGTCACCATCTAACTACCTGAGTTTGCATTCCAAGGTGGTGTAAGTGGTGTTGGGTGTGGGGGGAAGTTATGTTGGAGTTAGATGTGCTGGGAAAATCACGGTATCAATTGGAATATTGGTTTATCAACATGCTCCCGCATCACAGTCATTTTGAGGGAAGAATTATAAAAGTGAGGCAGTTCCTGATGTTGCATATGTGATGGAATGCGCAGAGAAGAGCTCATTCATTGGCACACAGTGGCCATTACTTAAAAAGAACTCACAGTCTTTCATGTGGAGGCATGGGGGCATTTGTGCAAGGATAGTTTGGGCAAAGCAAGGGTACCAGGCAGTCATTCCCTCATTGCTTGTATCAAGCAAGACCATCACTGGCCATTGGGCCCAGCTGTTTTGGTGGTGACAAATTGTGATGAGGAGCACTGTGCCAACACAAGGGCAGGGAGGACATGAGCATGTTATGCTCATTATGCTGAAGACTCAGCCTCCTAGATATGTCGGAGCAGCAATGCTGCTGGAGATTGCATCTGTTGAAGAAGGTGGTTGTTGATTTGTCTGTCCTCATGAGGGTGAACCTCAAACCTCAGTGGGCACATGGGCTTAGCCTGCCAGCAGTTTGCGAAAACAGCCATGATTGGGAACATCTTTGTCTTATTTTGAAGGATGGCAGTGAACTTGTGGGGCACTTCCCTCAACAGGCTTGGCCTCTGGCAACATTGCAGCTCTGACATATCGAGAAAACCAGGTCTTTAACCTATTTCAAGAGCAGCCACCAATCATAACACCAGGAGGGTAATAATATCCATGTCTGAAAGGAGACCAGAGTACAATGAGTCTCTGTTAAAAGTTCAGAAATAAAAACAGAAATTGCTGGAAAAATGTAGTGGGTCTGGGAGCATCCGTGGAGAGAAAGGTGAATTAACATTTCGGGTCCACTGACTCTTCTTTTTTTCTCTGGTTATTTTTTCATTCATGGGATGAGGGCATCGCTGGTTGGACCAGCATTTATTGCCCACTGCTTTAACTTTGATAAGTTAATAGGGCTGTAATCCTGTTGAACATTGTGAGGTTTTGATTTTAACGTTTTTAACCTGACTTGAGTTGCACCATTTGCTGGGGTGCTTCTTGATCTCTGACTCTCTAACTTGACGCCATTCCCTCTGACTAGTCTTCTGATTTGCAACCTTTCTAGTTATTTATCCATGGGTTTGGGGCATTGCTGGCTGGGCTGGCATTTATTTCCCATTCCTAGTTGCCCTGGCAGTTTGGTGGTGAGCAGTCTTCTTGAAACCCTGCGGTCTGTTTCGTGTAGGTAGACCCACAGTCATAAAATCAGAAGCAGGGGTGTTTGCTGGTGATTGCACAATGATCAGCACCCATTCACAGCTCCTCAGATACAGAAGAAATCCATATCCAAATGCAGTAAGAGAGGTAGTTCTAGGATTTTGACTCAGCGACACTGAAGAAATGGCAACATGTCTCCGAGTCAGGATGGTGAGTGGCCTAGAGGGGAACTTGTAGATGGTGATATTCCATGTATATGCTAGCCTTGTCTATTTAGATTATTGTGGCCATGGGCTTGGAAGGCGCTGCCAAAGGATCCTTGGTGAATTTGTACAGTGTATCTTGTAGATAGTACACACTGCTACTACTGAGTGCTGGTGGTGGACAGAGTGAGTGTTTCTGGATGTGATGCTAATTAAACAGACTTTGTCCTGGATGTGCCAAGCATCTTGAGAGTTGCTGGAGCTGCAGTCATCCAGGAAAGTGGGGAGTATTTTATCACACTCCTGATTTATACTTTGTTGATAGTGGATAGGCATTGAGAAATCAGGTGGTCAGTTACTCACTGTAGGATTCCTAACCACAATATTTATTTGGCTAGGCCAGTTCAATTTTTGGTCAGTTGTTACCCTCAGGATGCTAATTGTGAGAGATTCAATGATGATAATGCAATCTATGTCAAGGGTCAAAGGTTGGATTCTGTCATGTTGTAGATGGTCATTGTGTGGCAGATTTTACTTGCCACGTAGCAGGCCAAGGCTGGATATTGTCCAGGACTTGTTGCACCTCACCATAGACTACTTCAGCGTTTGAGCAGCTGTGAATGATGTTGAACATTGTGCAGTATTCACTTTTAATTCGATAATGGTCTCTCCCTCTGACAGTTGCTGCTCCCAACTGGCCCAGCCTGAACTTGAACTTTATTGAAATACCTCACTGCTGCTGGTTCCTTTGCAGGTTGCTCCTGCTAATGGTCCAAACTAGGTCAATTCCTTAAAGTGACAATGGCACATGAACAACAGAACAGTGGGAATTGTATAAACCCCTGCTATAGTGAATCAAGTTAATAAACTGAAGTAGATCTTACATCTCTGAAATGTTTGACTGAATTGTGTTTTTTTTTCTGCAAGGATCCCTCTGTCAATGCAATCACTGGAGGTGAGAAATTGATGGATATTTCAGTCTTGTACATGTTTTCCAGTTTGCACTATCAGTCAGCACACTCCAGCCTGTTGTAGTAGTTAAGAGGTAGAAAAAGGGTTACTCTGGAAGGATTACCATAAACTTGGAGAAGTTGCCAACTTCAAATCATTATGAAGCTTGGGTCCAAGGATAACATGTTTCTGAAAGGGAGCCAATTCATGTACTATGTTTGAATTTCAGTGCCAATGAAAATGTCATTTAGACTTGAGATAGTCTCTGGGTTTGGTTCAGGAATCTATCTTGTTAAGAAGAGGTTTTTTTAAATCAAGTATAGCTATTACGTATTACATATGTTTTGTTTCTTTTCCCATAGGTTAATGCATCTCTTTTTTCTCTGAATGGTTACTATGCATCTGTCGTTGCAGATTTAAGGTAAGATAAAAGCAAACTGTATTGAATTGTTAGAGCCCCAATGCAATTTGATAATCACATAAATATCTCATGAACTTTAACTAAACTGGGTGACAATACTAACAATTTAACATGTTGTTTGCAGTGAGACTGAAGGCAGTGTGTCTATCTTGAACATGTTTGTACTCCCTGCCAATGTGACAGCACCTGAGGTACTGAGTAGTGTGCAAAATTACATGGAGAGTTGCAGATCTAAGACTGGAAGCTGTCAGTTTGTTCTGAATTATCAGCTATCATATAAAGGTAAAGAAACAGCCTTTCATGTAGCCACTATTACAGTTAATCTTCTACTTTTTAGTTGTGATCACTTAACAATAGATTAAATGCTAAATTAATCCAATAAACTTAGATCACCAATAACTGCCTCCTATACTTAAACCTAGAATAACTGTTATGGACAAACTTCTCCGAACCATGTATTTCATGTTTGGCAGAAGCAAACAACATTGCATTTAAAATATTTCATGGAAGTATTTGGTGGAGTAATGCAGTGACAGTATGTATGGATATTTCTGACCTCCCGAATGAATACTTAGAGGGGTTCTGACACAAGAAACCTCAGTCTAATATACTGTAACTCTTTGTACCTTCAAAGCAACAAGGTAAATACTTCACCTTCTCATGCCAGCCATGTCTCCAAGTGACAATAAGTTGTGATAAATATAAAGAGTTTAGTGTTGTTGGCCCTTGCTAACTAACATCAGATTGAGACTCCCAAATCATTTTTCATGTAAGATCTTCAGTTTCAATTTAGATTTGATGCAAAAGCAGACCCCAGACTGAAAAGTTGTTAGACTCCACTCAAATCCCGTGTTTAAGGAATTTACAAAACTTCCATATCTTTCATTTTATAGAATTATGGAATGGTTATAGAACACAAGGTCATTTCACCCATCATATTCATGCTAGCTAGCTAAAGGAGCAACTCTCTTAGTTCCTTGCACTGTAATTTCTCTGAAGCCCCGAAAGTATTTTCTCTTTAATTGATCATTTACTTCCCATTTGAAAACCATAATTGAATGTGCCTCTTCCACACTCTCAGGCAGTGCATTCCAGATTCAACCTCCCTGCTTCCAAAAAAAAGTTTCCTCATGTTACTGTTGCTTTATCTACCAATTACATAAATCAGTGTCCTCTGGTTTTAACCCATCTTTCAATGGAAATAGGTTCTCCGTTTTTCCCGATTTACCCTATCTAAATACTTCATGATTTTGAATACTCTTATAAAATTTTCTCTCCAGCTTCTCTCCTTCAAGGACAACAGACCCAGCTTCTCCAAATTATAAATGTAACAAAAAATGGTAGAATGGTTATAGCATAGAAGAAAGCTATTCAGACTGTCAAACCTATGCACTGCTGTATAACAGCAGCTCAGCTATGGGGTCATTTCTTCAAAGCTATGCATTTTTTTCTCTCTTCAGTACCCATCCAATACCTTTTTGAAAACTATCCTTTCTCTGCTCCTATGATGCAGCTTGGCCTGCTGTGTTCATCCAGCCCTGCACCTTGTTATCTCGGATTCTCCAGCATCTGCAGTTCCTACTATCTCTTATTGAACAAGAGGTCTTTTTTATACTCATGAAGTTGATACTTAGCCTGGCAATTAAGCTGGAAATCTTATAGATCTATTTTGGAATCCATGATTAGTTGCATTTCCAGGGTGGCAATAACATGAGCTAGCTTTAGGCTATGTGCTGGTTAATCATATTTCTTGAATTTAACCTCAAGTTACTTCCTTGCCACAAAAGCATGAAAGTTCTATTGCCCACAACAGCTGTCTTTTTGATCTCTTTAACTATAACACGTTATTCTGTGCAGCATGAATAAAACCACAAATTACATACACTTAGGATTGGGCTCTGTAAATGTTTATCACAGGCTCTCGTCCTCAACATCTCTCGTTGATGGGCTAAAAGAACAGAGTTTCACTCCACTATAATAAAGCAAAGGATTGCAGATGCTAGAAATCTGAAACAAAAACAGTAATTGATGGAGAACTCGGCAGGTCAGGCAGTATCTGAGGAGAGAAAGTAGAGTTAACATTTTGGGTCCAGTGACCCCTCTTCAGACCTAGTTCTGCAATTTTTGACTTTGTTTCAGAATTTTACTGCATCCTATTTTAAACTCAGACTTATACCTGTGCACTGTTTAATTGTTTCTGTTGAGGTAAGTTAATCCTCTTTCAAAGCTATCAAAACAAAAATGTACTAAGATTGCTTCCTGCCACAAAGCTGCAATTTAAAATTCTCATCCATCAGGTCACTCAAGAAATAGTATTGACATTTTAATGTAAGGTATCACTTTCCATCCTCATAGTGTGTTCAATATTTTACAGAATGAAAAATAAAGAATATGGCTGTTTCACAAGTGTTAATAGTATTCAGTTATAGAGTTGAGGTATCCAGGAATGTTATGCAAGTCTGCTATTGTTGCAATGTAAGATGACACCCCGTATTTGAACCTCAAATAATTAATAATAAATTTGTCTTTATGATTCTAATGATTCATCTGTGTAACTCATTTATAATTTCAGTCCTGTTGACTATTACTTTGTTCAGTTGGAGGTTATTTGCATTAATTACCATCCTTGATTTTAATGGATTTGTTGAATTCTGGATCAGTGAATGCACAAAAGAAGTGGGGATTTGAAATTAACAAATGAAATTCATTGAAATTGACAAGTAGAATTTAGAGATTGAAATTAAATATGGATTACTAATTAAATATTTTTTTTATTCACAGCTGAAAAGTTATGTAGCCTGAAAGTGCCTGAATGTGACAATGCAACTGCAGAATGCAGTGATCATAATGGAATTGCAGACTGCCAGTGTAAAGATGGCTACTTCAAATACAATACCATGGATCCTTCATGTCGAGGTGTGTTATGCTAACAGTTGAATCACAACAATGATTATATGCTATGTTTTATGATGGTAAAAATCTAAGGGGAAGGCTGTTGTGGCCCAGTGGTAGGGTCCCTACCTCTGAGCTAGGAGGCAGGGATTCAAATTCCACCTGTTCCAGAGGTTTGTGATAGCATATCTGAACAGGTTGATTGAAAAAAAACCTAAAAAACCTAAAATGCAAAACAGCCAGACAAGGGTTTTTGTGATGTGGTAGCAGTGCCCCTCTGAACCAGGAGACCCTGTTTCGAGTCTCATTTGCTCCAAAGGAATGTAATAGGTGTCAATGTGTTTCTGAACAGGTCGATTAGAGAATATCTAAAAATCTAGGCAGAAAGATAAGCTGTAAGGAGGATTCAGAGAGGGTGCAAAGAGGTGCAGCCAGGTCAAGTGGCTGGGCAACATAATGGCAGATCAGGTATAATGTGGGGAAATGTGAAGCTAACCTCTTTATCTGTAAGAATGGAAAAGTAGAATATGTTTTAACATGTATAAAATTTGCAAATATTGATGCTCTGAGAGATTGTGGGTATGTTTGTACCAGAAATGCATTGTGGACGTCCCTAAAGTATGATGTGGAGGTGCTGGTGTAGGACTGGGGTGCACAAAGTTGGAAGTCACACAATACCAGGTTACAATCCAATAGGTTTATTTAAAGGAGCAGTGCTCCAAAAGCTTGTGGTTTCAAATAAATCAATTGGATTATAACCTGGTGTCATTGTAAATTCTGACTTTGTCCCTATACCAGACAGACTGCAACGGTTCAGAAATGTGGCTCGCAACCACTTTCTCCAGGGGAATTAGGGATGAGCAATAAATACTAACACGCAGTTATAGAAAGCAATTATTAAAAAGGCAAATGGCATGTTGACTTTTATCATGAAGGCATTTGAATACAACAGTAGCCTTGCAATTGTACAGGCCTTCGGTAGCATCACACTTGAATACTCTGTGCAATTTGGATCTTCACTTTAAGGAACGATGTACTTGTACTTGATGGTGTACAGTGAAGGTACATTAAATTGGTCCCTGGGGTGTGAGAGGCTGAATAAATTGGGCCCAGCTTCCTTGGAGTTTAGGGGAATGACAGCTGATCAAACTGAAACATACATGCTCCTGAAGGGGCTTGATATGGTGGATGCTGATTTTTTCCATTGATTGAAGAATCTAAACCTTGAGGATTCATTCTGAGGAAAAAGGGCCAATCAATTTAGGACAGAGACAAGGAGCTATTTCTTCACTCAAAATGTTGCGAATCTTTGGAATTCTCTACCCCAGAGGGTAGTGGATGCTCTAATGCTGAATACATTTAAGGCTGAGATAGACTGAGTTTCATTCCCATTGTGAGTCCAGGGATGTGGGGAGTGGGCAGGAAGGTGGATTTGAAGCACAAAATGAGCCATGATTGTAATGAATGGCAGAGTGAGTTCCACAGACCGCATGGTGCACTCCTGCTGCTTTTACCTGCATTCATGTGTGAATGAAAATATGGAAATCATTTTAATGTTTTGGTGGTGGCATACAGTCATTTTTATTCTTTTATTGCAGCATGCGATGATGGCTACAAGTTAGAGAACGGAACCTGTGCTCCGTAAGTAGATTACAAAATTATCCTTCCCTTGATCGCAAATTTAACAGATCATTATCAGCTGAGAAAATATATTGATTTATCTTTGTTGTAATTCACAGTTGTATGTTTGGATTTGGAGGATTCAACTGCAAAAATCGTAAGTTACCAGGTTTTCTTTAATGTTTTATTTAATGTGAAATGAAACATCACTGTTCAGTGTGCTCCAGCTATGGCATTCGTGATAATGTACATAATGAGGAGTCATGGGACACACATTATTCATATAAAATGTCAATGTTGATGTGGTCCTCCCAAAAAGTAAAGATTTGAGCTGCCTGATTGATATTATAAATAGGAAATAGATTGACTCCTACAGTTTCTCATTAGCTTTCTGTTAGTGCTGTGAATTGGGTAATTTTTTTATGGGATATGAGTATCATGGGAAGGCCGGTATTTATTGTCCATCCCCAATTCACCTGGAGAAAGTAGTGGTGAGCCATATTTTTGAACTGTTGCAGTCTGTCTGGATTAGGGACATCCACAAGGGGAGGAAGTTCCAGAATTATGACCCAACCACAATGAAGGAAGGTGGACATAGTTCTGAGTCAGGGTGGTTTGTGACTTGGAGGGGAACCTGAGATGGTGGTGTTCCCTTGCATTTGTGGCTCATTGGTTATCACTGCTGCCTCACCAGCGCAAGGGATCCAGGTCGATTCCTCAGGCGACTGTCTGTGTGGAGTTTGCACATTCTTCCCGTGTCTGCGTGGGTTTCCTCTGGATGTTCTGGTTTCCTCCAAAGATGTGCAGGCTAGGTGGATTGGCCATGCAACATTGCCCATAATGTTCAGGGTTGCACAGGCCAGGTGGAATAGCCATGAGAAATGCAGTGTTACAGGGATAGGGAAGGGGTGTGTTTCTGGGTGGGATGCTTTTCGGAAGGTAAGTGTAGATTCAATGGGCTGAATGGCCTGCTTTCACACTGTAGGGCTTTTATGATCTGCTTCACTTTTCCTTTGAGGTGGAAGAAGTCGTGGGTTTGGAAGGTGCAATTGAAGAAGGCTTGGCAAGTTGCTACCATGTATATTGTAGATGGTACACACTTGCTACTTTGCCTACTATGTAACAATGGTAGGGAGAATGAATGTTTAAGATATGGTTACTGGGGCTTATACAGGTCCTGACTCTCCTTGTGACATATGGAAGAGAACCACTCCACAAATAAAAGTTTTATACTTACCTTTTGTGTCCTCCACTACGTGTCTGTAATTTTCACTGGAAAGAACACAGCTTTGGTGATGGTGGTGTCAATGACGGATCTCTGGCTCTGGATGTGAACTCAGACTTTTGTTCGCAGAGTGTTTCAATATGCCGTGATGCAGCTCACTGGTGTGACCACAAGAGGGAGGCAAATTCACTATCTTGACAAAAATAGTAACATCTATATTTTCATGCAAAGACCACAATTAATCTTTGACACTGTTTCTACAAATTGCTTTGCCTTCAGAATTGGAAAGAATCAATTAAAATGTGTTTTGACATGTGTTTTATATAAATTAATTTGCCTTATGTTTAACATCTGAAACACTTAAGGTGTAAACATATTTGCCCTGTATTTCATCTGTTCCTTTTCTTCTAGAATATCCAGATGAAGCAGTTTGTCTAGTGAAGCACCTATCGGTGCTTATTTGGACTAAGTTAGATTGCAGTGTCACTGGGAAGTTAGGAAGTGGGGTACAACAAAATAACCAAAGTAACCCAATTCAGAAAAAGAGCTCAACAGAGGTTGTGAGACAACAAGGTGCAGGGCTGGATGAACACAGCAGGCCAAGCAGCATCATAGGAGCAGAGAGGCTGACGTTTCGGGCCTAGAACCTTCATCAGAAAAGGGGGCGGGGTAGGGGGTTCTGAAATAAATAGGGAGAGAGTGGGAGGCGGATAGAAGAGGGATAGAGGAGAGGAAACAAACAGGTCAAAGAGGCGGGGATGGGGCCAGTAAAGGTGAGTGTAGGTGGGGAGTTAGGAAGGGGATAGGTCAGTCCAGGGAGGACGGACAGGTCAAGGGGGCGGGATGAGGTTGGTCGGTAGGAGATGGAGGTGCGGCTTGAGGTGGGAGGAGGGGTTAGGTGGAAGGAAGAACAGGTTAGGGAGGCAGGGACGAGCTGGACTGGTTTTGGGATGCGGTAGGGGGAGGGGAGATTTTGAAACTTGTGAAATCCACATTGATACCATTGGGCTGCAGGGTTCCCAAGCGGAATATGAGTTGCTGATCCTGCAACCTTCGGGTGGCATCGTTGTGGCACTGCAGGAGGCCCAGGATGGACATGTCGTCTGAGGAATGGGAGGGGGAATTGAAATGGTTCGCGACTGGGAGGTGCAGTTGTTTGTTGCGAACCGAGCGTAGGTGTTCTGCAAAGCGGTCCCCGAGTCTCCGCTTGGTTTCCCCGATGTAGAGGAAGCCACAGCGGGTACAGCGGATGCAGTATACCACATTGGCAGATGTGCAGGTGAACATCTCCTTGATGTGGAAAGTCTTCTTGGGGTCTGGGATGGGGGTGAGGGAGGAGGTATGGGGGCAGGTGTAGCACTTCCTGCGGTTGCAGGGAAAAGTGCCGGGTGTGGTGGAGCTGGAGGGGAGTGTGGAGCGGACAAGGGAGTCACGGAGAGAGTGGTCCCTCCGGAAAGCAGATAAGGGTGGGGAGGGAAAGATGTCTTTGGTGATGGGGTCAGATTGCAGATGGCGGAAGTGTCGGAGGATGATGCGTTGGATCCGGAGGTTGGTGGGGTGGTACGTGAGGACGAGGGGGATTCTTTTTTGGTTCTTATTGCGTGGACGGGGTGTGAGGGATGAGGTGCAGGAGATGTGGGAGACACGGTTGAGGGCGTTCTCGACCACCGAGGAGGGGAAGTTACGGTCCTTGAAAAACGAGGACAACTGAGATGTACGGGAGTGGAATGCCTCATCCTGGGAGCAGATGCGGCGGAGGCGAAGGAATTGGGAATAGGGGATAGCATTTTTGCAGGAAGGTGGGTGGGAGGAGGAGTATTCTAGGTAGCTGTGGGAGTCGGTGGGCTTGAAATGAATATCGGTTTCTAGGTGGTTGCCCGATATGGAGACAGAGAGGTCCAGGAAGGGGAGAGAGGTGTTAGAGATGGTCCAGGTAAACTTAAGGTTGGGGTGGAAGGTGTTAGTGAAGTGTATGAACTGTTCGAGCTCCTCGTGGGAGCACGAGGCGGCACCGATACAGTCATCAATGTAACGGAGGAAGAGGTGGGGTTTAGGGCCGGTGTAGGTATGGAAGAGGGATTGTTCCACGTAACCTACAAAGAGGCAGGCGTAGCTTGGGCCCATGCGGGTACCCATGGCTACCCCCTTTGTCTGTAGGAAGTGGGAAGAATTGAAAGAGAAGTTGTTGAGTGTGAGGACGAGTTCGGCTATGCGGATGAGGGTATCAGTGGAGGGGGACTGGTCGGGCCTGCGGGACAGGAAGAAGCGGAGGGCCTTAAGGCCATCTGCATGGGGAATGCAGGTGTAGAGGGACTGGACGTCCATGGTAAAGATGGGGTGTTGGGGACCAGGGAATTGGAAGTTCTGGAGGAGGTGGAGGGCGTGGGTGGGGACATAGGTAGGGAGTTCCTGGACCAAGGGGGAGAAAATGGAGTCTAGATAGTTGGAGATCAGTTCGGTGGGGCAGGAGCAGGCGGAGACCATGGGTCGACCAGGGCATTCAGGTTTGTGGATTTTGGGAAGGAGATAGAAGCGGGCAGTGCGAGGTTGGGGAACGATGAGGTTGGAGGCCGTGGGTGGGAGGTCACCTGAGGTGATGAGGTTGTGGATGGTTTGGGAGATGATGGTTTGGTGCTCAGGGGTGGGGTCATGATCAAGGGGGCGGTAGGAGGAGGTGTCGGAGAGTTGGCGTCCGGCCTCGGCGATGTAGAGGTCAGTGCGCCATACTACAACTGCGCCTCCCTTGTCCGCGGGTTTTATGGTGAAGTTGGGATTGGAGCGGAGGGAGCGGAGGGCTGCACGTTCTGCGGGGGAGAGGTTGGAGTGGGTGAGTGGGCTGGAGAGGTTGAGGCGATTGATGTCTCGACGGCAGTTGGAGATGAAGAGGTCGAGGGAGGGTAGGAGGCCTTGGGGTGGTGTCCAGGAGGAGGGGGTGTGTTGGAAGCGGGAGAAGGGGTCAGTAGAGGGAGGGTTAGGTTCACGGTTAAAGAAGTAAGCGTGGAGGCAGAGGTGGCGGAAAAACTGCTCTATGTCCAAGCGTGAGCGGTATTCGTTGATCTGTGGGTGGAGGGGGTTAGGGTTAGGGTTAGGAGGTTGTTATCTTTTATATATGGCTGATGATCAGCAAGTTGCATCGTTGAGGCAGTGAGCAAGAGACATCACCCCTAAATTTTGTGTGGCAGAAATCAACGTTCTCGTAAACTTTTTATTTTCTTCTGGGTGATCTCTGGGGCCCTTTCACTGGCAACGACTTGCAGAACCGGATGTCCATGCCATGAATAGAGTTAGCTTGCCAAGCGTGCCACGGTGTGCTGGCCCTTAGAGCAGCCATGTTGTTTAGAAGGAGCACTGGTTTAAAATGAACCTAGATGGGCTGCACAAGATAGTTTTAACTGCTTTGCTTTGAATTAGGGATGAGCATGTCATGCCTTTAGTCTCAATCGGTCAGATCAAGCGTTCGCGTCAGTGATGAAGAAAAACTCAACATGGCTGATTTTGAGAGCTAGTCCCAATTGAGGTAGATAAGGACTTCATGTTTCACAAAATTGTAAACATGGGAAATTGAACACATTTGTGAAATGTCGATGTTAATATGGTTGAGCTTGGTGCATTAAAGAGTATGAAAAACAAAATGCTGTTTTCTCTTTAATTCATTTCATTTTTTTGCTCCCTTTTTATTAGCTTACAAGCTCATCACTGTGGTGATTGCTGCAGCTGGAGGAGGGTTGCTCCTTATCTTGGGCATTGCATTAACTATCACATGTTGCAGGTGTGTACCAGAGATCAACCTTTGGTAATGTGATAAAGGAACAGTTGCAGTTCAATGCAATATATGTACGGGATGGCTTGTAAATATGTACATAAAATATTTGCCCATGATAAGAGCAATGAGTATGTTGTTTACGCACTCATTGGAACTTTCCATTTATGCTACGGTTTTGAACATAGCCTGAAATATACCTGTATTTTCATAATGTCAGCAGTATTTTCTGTTGCTGTCAAACATTTTTATCTGTGGACTACTTAGGTAGAACAAGTAGCTACCAGTCCGACCTCACTAGTTTTAACTTGCCACCACAAAAAAAATCTCATCAGATTTAATGGGACTTGGTGGAACTCTAAACATTTTGTATCGCAACTAAATTTGATAAACCCACTTGGATTGTTTTGCAATATTAAAAATGAAAGGTAACTCATTAATTCATACCGGAATAATTGACATTTTTATATATTAAACCTGCGTATACTGCAAGTATGAACATATAAATTAGGAGCAGGAATAGACCATTCAACTCTCAAGCCCATTCTGCCGTTCGATATGATTGTGGCTGGTCTGATTGTCAATTTAAATATATATTCCTGGCAACACATGATAACTTTTCACTTCCTTGTGTGACAAGAAATATATATCTTTCCTGTAAGACATACTTGTTGCTTGCACTTATGATGACTCGTGCTGAGCACACACTAGTGCCAGTCTAGTTCTGTGACGTCATGTTGTTTGTCGGGATGAGAATTCTGGCCTGTTCTTGCATGTCACCTGAACTGTCATGTTGCCTTCAGTGACTTACCTTTTACATAAGTCCGTAGACCACCAGTGGTCTATAGGCCAGACTTTGTAAACCACTCAAATAAAAGCAAAGAATCAGGGATGCTGGAGGTTTGACATAGAAACAGAAAGTGCTTGAAAAACTCTGCAGGTCTGGCAGATTCTGTGGAGAGAGAAACAGAGTTAACATTTCAAGTCAGATATGACTCTTCATCAGAGCGGTTCTGTTGTTCTGAAGAAGAGTCATCTCAGATTTATAGAGTCATACGGCATGGAAACAGATCTTTTGGCCCAATCCCCCGTCCATTCGGACCATAATCCCAAACTAAACTAGTTTCATCTGCCTGAGCTTGGCCCATATCCCTCCAAACATTTCTTATTCATGCACTTATCCAAATGTCTTTTAAATGTTGTAACTGTACCTGCATCCACCACTTCCTCTGGAAGTTCATTCCACATAAGAACCACTCTCTGTATAAAAATAAAGACCCCTCATGTCTTCTTTAAATCTTTCTTCTCTCAGCATTAAAATATGCCCATTACTCTTGAAATCTCCAAACCTAGGGAAAAGACAGTGGCCATTCACCTTATCTATACCTCTCATGATTTTATAAACCTCTATTAGATCACCCTTCCACCTCCTGTGCTGCAGTAAAAAATGTCCCAGCCTACCAAGCATCTCTTTATAACTCACACTCTCCATTCCTGGTAACATTCTGGAACATTCTGCTTAATAATATCCTTCCTTTATCAGGGCGACCAGAATTGGACGCAATACTCCAAAACAGGCCTCAACAACGTCCTGTACAACCTCAACTTAATATCCTAACTCCTATCCTCAAAGGTCTGAGCAATGAAGGCAAGCATGCCAAATGCCTTCTTAACTATCCTGTCTATATGTAACACAAACTTCAAAGAATTATGTACCTGAATCCCGAGGTCTCTTTGTTCTATAACACTACCCAAGGCTATACTTTTAATTGTATAAGTCCTGCCCTTGTTTGTTTTACCAAAATGCAATACTTTGCATTTATCCAAAATAAACTCCATCTGCCACTCTTCAGCTCATTGATCCAGTTGATCAAGATCTCTTCGTAATCTTAGATAACTTTCTTCACTGCCATCTATGCCACCAATTTTGTTGTCATCTGCAAATTTACTAACCATGCCTTATATATTCTCATCTAAATGGATTTGAAATGTTAACTCTGTTTTTCTCTCTTCACAATTGCTGCAAGATCTGCTGAGTTTCTCCAGCACACTGTTTTTATTTGAGAACCACTAACCTGTATCATGATGGTGCAGAAAGTTTCTACGTGGCTTTGCCTGATATAATGAGAGGTTATTAAAAGAAGTGGCTGTAGAAATCAGTTTAGTGTGATCAGTTGAATAGATTAGTTTATTCTGATGAGTCTTCTACTGTGCAATCAATCTCAGTGCTCAAATTGTTTTAGAATAGTATTATAAATCCTTCACAACACTGCTAACCTTCAACTTTGTCCAGTGCAAGGATCTGTGTAACATGGCCATTCTGTAAATGACCAACAAATTACAATTGAAAGCAAGTGGACTAAATAAGAGGAAAGCTCTCATGGCGGGGGGAAAGACAGCATTGTAGTGGTAAGGCTCAGGCTGACGCTGTTGAGATGTGAGATCAAATCCCACTATTACAGCTGGTGGAATTGCAATTCAATTAATAAGTCTGGAATTAAAAATTAGCCTCAGTAGTGGTGGCCATGAAGCTATCATTGTTGTAAAATCCCATCTGGTTCACTTATGGCCTTTAGGGAAGGAAATCTGCCACCCTACCCTGGTCTGGCCCACATGTGACTCCATCCCCACAGCAATGTGGTTGACTCTTAACTGCCCTCTGAAGTGACCAGCAAGCCACCCCGTTCAAGGGCAGTTTACGCTGAACAACAAATGTTGCCAACAACACATGCATCCATGAAAAGATTCAAAAAAAAAGAAAAGTTACATCTCCCAAGTATTCTGTCTTTGAAATATTCTGGAAAACATGTTCTGAAAATAAGGTAACAATTCCAGCAACTGCCAATATGGAGAAACCTCCAATAACAAAAAAAATTACACCACTTCGCCAAAGTAATTACCATGGCAGTGGCCTTTAAGGAGCATGGAAAGTTAACAGCTGAACATTAAAATTATATTCTGGTCCTCAAACTGAGTAGTACCATGGGCAATAAGCCAGCAAGAAAACAAATAAAATAGTGAAATAACTGAACAGAGGCCGGTATCCCATCATCAAGTCACCCTTTATTTAAACGTGCACAGTATATAGGCATTGACCAGCCAGCTCAGAGCCAATCCCTAGACTGAGGGGACTTTCTGAGACTCCTGTTTATATCTGTCAGTCAGGGATCCCTGTTTGGCTCAGGTTAACAGCCCCAATCAGGGAGCTCATACTCAACGAGATCTACCTGGCCAATCTCGTTCCAATCACTATATCCCTCCCCCACTAAGTCCAGGGATGTCAGCCTGTTCTTTTCCTTGTAGCTTCTCCTGGGATGTTTTGTTGTTCTGAGGAAGAGTCATATTGGATTCATAGAGTCATAGACTCATATAGCACAGAAACAGACCCAAAAATGCAACCAACCCATTCTGACCCTAATCCCAATCTAAACTAGCCCCACCTGCCTGCACTTGGCCTATATCCTTCAAACATTTCTTATTCATATACTTACCCAAATGTCTTTTAGATGTTGTAACTATACCTGCATCTGTCATTTCATCTGGAAGTTCATTTCTCACACGATCTGTCATTTCCCAAAAGTTTGCTTTCTTTGAATGTTATCATTGTGACCACATTTTTCATTCTATATTTCCCTTTCCTCAGGAAAGACAAGAATGATATCAGCAAATTAATCTTCAAGAGTGCCGATTTTCAGAGATCACCATATGCAGAGTTCCCCAAAAATCCCCGAATATCCGTAGAATGGGGCAGGGAAACTATAGAGATGCAGGAGAATGGAAGCACAAAAAACCTGTTACAGATGACCGATGTGTATTATTCAGTAAGTATCAACCCAAAAGAAAACTTTGGATTATTTTACATTAAGGATGGAAATTGAGCACCAATACAATATTAAAATTAATCTACAGCCTGGATCTTCTGTAATCATTGCTGGATTGTTCGTGCACTCCTACTTTTGTCCTCTCAGATGCTCCTTCAAATTTCTGGCAAGGGTCTTCTGAGTCTGGACTCCCCAGAAGTGCAGAACTCAGGAAGAATTTATAGAAACCTACAAAATTCTAACAGGATTAGAAAAAGGAGATGCAGGAAGGATGTTCCTGATGACCAGGCAGTCCAAAGCCAGGGGTCACAGTTTAAGAATACGGAGCAGGTCTTTTAGGACAGGGTCAGGAGGAATTTCTTCATGTATGGAGTGGTGAGCCTATGGAATTCTCTGCCAGTGGAAACTGTTGAGGCCAATGCAAAACATTTTTCAAGAAAGAGGTAGATGTAGTTCTTCGGTCTAAAGGGATCACAGGATGTGGGGAGAAAACGGGAACAGGGTACTGCATTGGACGATCACCCATAATTGTATTGGATGTTGGAGCAGGCTTGAAGGGCCAAATGACCAACTCCTGCTCCTGTATTCTTTGTTTCTTTCAAAATGCTGTAGTGTTGCGTGGGAAGACTGGTCACTCTCCCTTTTTCAGCACTGGGCTATCCTAACACAGATTTAAATGCCCAATGTGGATATTTGTGAATGGGTGATTGTATGAATGAGTGATTAGGGAGAGTGGTGGGACAGGTTGGACAAGTGGGTATGATGGCAGGGTGGTACATAATTGTGTTGGGTGATGTGTAAAAGGGGACATGTGGGCAGGAAGAGATGCGGGTAGAGAGTGAATCACCTGCTCTATTTGATGTCGTGATTGCAGTGACACCCAGAGCATAACTTGGGGAACTTTCAAAGGTGTGAATAAATTATTGACCTTGGGTCCTATGATTCTAGCAGGAACTATTCCTTATTTTTAAGTGACTAACATCAATTACCACGTGTTTAACTGGCACAGGTAGTTTGGCACTAACAGACAGGAAGGCCCACACACTTACTGTAATTACCTGATTGCTCTAAAGACTTTAAAGGGAAATGGTTTTGAATGATCTGACTTTTTATTTAGTTTAAGGTAAAGTTACATCAATAACTTGCTGTCAATAAATGAGAGTTGGCAACAGGATAGCAGAGAGAAAATAACTTTGGTAAATGTGAGGTTCTTCACGTTGGCTGTAAGAACAGAAAAGCAAATTGAAATGATGACTCCATGATGAGAAACTGATTAAGTTGGGCCTATTCTTTTGGAGTTCAGAAAATGAGAGCGGATCTCAGTTGAAACAAACAAAATTAAGAAATGCATTGACAGGACAGATATGAGTGGGGTGAGGTAGTTAGAATGCAAAGGCACCACTTCAGCATGAGACATCACTCATTTCAGACTGAGTTGAGAAATTCCTTCACTCAAAGAACTGACAGTCTTTGGAATTGTTTACTTCAGTGACATGCGGGTGCTCCATATTGACCATATGTCGGCTGGACAGATTTTTGGATCCATTAGAGAATCAAAGAAATTGGGAGCGAGTGGGAAAGTGCAGTTAAAAATAATTGAATTTAATCATGGATTAGGCTCAAAGGGTCATTCTTATATTCTTAAACAAATTCTGGATAGCTTTTGGTTTTTTGGGAGACCAGAGAATTGGGGTCCTGTTGGGATCCAGAACACTGCTAGCTCTTAATTTACAGCAATGCAAGTATATTTTCTGCAGGCATTACTAACAACTGCAAATAGAAAACCAACTTATTTGTGATTCAGTTTTAAATCTTGTTTTGTAATCTTGTCTGTTTAGCAAACATAAGAATAAATACAAATGCCCTCCTTGAAGTGCTTATTGCTTTCCTACTTTTTCCACAGTCTGGCTTAAGAGGTTCAGAAGTGGACCGGAATGGTTTGCATCCTTACAGTGGCCTACCTGGATCACGCTACTCTTGCATCTACACTGGACAATACAATCCATCTTTCAGCAGTGAAGAAACAAGAAGAAGAGATTATTTCTAGCCAAGTTAAAATAGAGATTTATTTTTGTGTCAGAACAGAGTATGGGACCAATGAACCAAAAGTAAAATGAGGAATTGCTGCAAAAAAAATTGGATTCTGAACATTTGTGGTGAAGGACTGGTGGAATGTGAAGGAATTGTTGTGTGCAGTGTACTGTATACAGCAGCTACTGTAGATCACACTGATGGACAAGTGATAGACCCGATCAGCTGTACTGAATGGTTTTATTTGCATCAGCATACAAAGACTTTGCTTACAAATGGACAATTGTACATTGTGTAATTGTGTATTTTTTGTGGTTTGTTTTTCTAGTTTGTCAATAACTTATAAACAATCACAGTGTTTTCAGACTGGTCAAATGATAATATCGCACAGACAAAAGAAACACTAACTGATGAATTTGTGGAAGAACTGGAAACTTAACATTTCTGGCCTGGTGCTGAGATATTGCTCAGGTGAATTAGAGCATTGCTAACTATCAGGACTCGGGCCTTATTCATGCTGGAAATATTAGTATCTGATTTCTGAATGTTCTGAGATTTTTCTGGATCCTTCTGTGTGTCTGTGGTGTCTAGTTCACAAAGCATTCCTTTCCTTTCCATTAATACCTTCGCTGACTCCAGCAGATCTTCCAACAGGTAAAAAGAGCTAGACAGACAATTTCTGATACTGTGGGAAGTGCGAATAGAATGTTCTTTTATGGTTGAAACATTCCATCCAGAGCACAACGTGCTATTGAGCAGCTACTTGAAAGTGACGAATGCTGTATTCTGTTTTTGATTCTCGTTAGGTTTTCTATACTGCAATTAAATTCAGAAGATTCCAATTCTTTTCATACCCTCTATTTGCAAACAGCTGAAAATGTTGCTTCACTTCCATTGTGAATCTGTGTTGTTACCTCTACAAGTACAATTTTTAGCTGTACCACTATAGTTGGTCCAGAATAATCCGCATGTATAAAATGACTATATACTGCTTGTTGCTTTGCCCAACCTTCACCATATTTATTTATTTATTTTTAAACACACCAGCAACTCTGCTGCCCACATGTCGAGAAGGAAGTCATAAAAAATTTTGGGACTAGCAAGCTTTGCGCACTGTTGATTTTTTTTTAATCCATTAATGACTTTTATTGTGACCCTGTGTTCCATAAAACACAAAAGGTGTAGCTTAGAATTGGATGACTTGGGCCTATGTCTTTTTGCTTCCTTCCAGTTCAAGGAGTTTGCACCACATAATGGCCAATATTCTCTTTGACCAATGGTTAAGCTCTGCACATTCCACACTCAGCACTTTTTTTAAAAAAAAGATTGGGCTTCATCTGCCCAATCTGCTTTCTGTCTTAATATATTCTACTTATATAGGGAGTTATTTCCCTTCTTGTACTAAGTAACCTTTTGTGAATGGTGCTTGTGGAATTTCTTGTAATATCTTCTGAGTCTTTGGGATGTTGACCATCTTTCTGTTTGTCACTTTAATTGATCTTATTTGATTTACAGGACACATTCACTCATTATATATGCCTCTTAAGAGCAGAAATTAGGCCATTCAGCCCATCGAGTCTGCTCCACCATTCAATCATGGCTGACTTTCTCAACCCCATTCTCCCATTTTCTCCCCGTAACCCTCGATTTCCTTGACAATCAAGAACCTATCCGTTTCCGTCTTAAATATACTCAATGACTTGGCCTCCACAGCCTTCTGTGACAGTGAATTCCTGTGAATTATTCTTTCTTACAAAGGGACTTAGCTTCTAAACCCTTTTAAGGTATTTTCCTAGGCATTTAAATTTATTCATAAATACTCCATACGTTATGGGAAAACAAGTTTGACATGACATTCCTACTTGATCAAACCTTTCCTTCAAAAATAAATTCCCATCTTGTATAATTTTTACATTTCAACCAGACAACTTTATTAAACTTTCCTAATGAAGTGCTGATGCTTTTAATTAACTTGACTTCTTGGCTTTGCATTCAAGGTGAATAATAGCTATAAATGATTAGGTTTTCAAAACTACATTGAAATTAAGGCTATCAATACCTTTTTTAAATTAGAAAATGACTCCTTCAATTTTTCTTATTGTTCGTCTGCTACTGTAGCAGTGAACATAAAGACCACAAAAAAGTTGAAATTGAATTTCAGTTAGTTAATTATTAACTGTAAGTGTAATCAACAGAATGATTTGAGTGGACTTACTGCAGATAAGCATCGTGTAAAGTATGTTGGCCTTGTTATATAAAAATATAAATCCTTTTGGTGCCAGCAAATTGTGACAATGATCTCTTTTAAGTCAAGTCCCTTCCCCTTTTTAAAACTTCTTAAAAGCATGAGAAGTTTCCATTCAATTTAATTATTTTATTGATTGATCCATACATCTATATTTTGCTTTACATGTTTATTTTATCTTATTAACATGAAATTCATCAAATCCAAGCATGTATCATCTGTATTTTGTGTTCATAATTTTGGAGAACACCGGTAGCTTAGATATTTGATAATTTCCTCTTGGTGAACATATAGTGGCCAACATTTAATGATTGCTTTACCAAAGAATCGCTTCCCCAAAGTCATTTTGCAGATTTACTTACTACTAATAATTAGCTTACTAAACTATAGTCTCCCTGTGCTAATTTCTTCTGTTGACTTTTTACATCTGCAGTTTCTTCACAGTGAACTGGAAGTGATAGTGGCCTTCTGTCATCAATAGTGGCCTGGCTCACACAGAATTTAGTTAGATGTGCATAATTTTTGTGAGATGTGAACAGTAGGAGCTAAGAGCAATAGGAAAGAAATGATCGACATCCTCAGAAAATTTGCTCTAATGTTGAAAATTTGCTTTCAGTAAATTTTGTTTGAGCAAGCACTGTTGATTAGTACAGAATGTCAACTATTGCAGATCAATTGTTCAATGCTACTTCATGATGAGAAAGTAGGAGATAAGCCAAAAATGGCAGATGAAGGTGAGAATTTATATCAGTGCTTTCCTTCTCACTCAGAAGTGCCAACGTATTAAAAATGTTCATTCCACTAAGTGGTCTAAACGTTTATGTAAAATAATGATTACGCTCAAAATGCTGCATTTGCATCAAAAGTTAGCATTGCAGCAGATTTGATGTTGTGTAAAGCCCTTACTGTGCAGCTCAATTCTGAGAGCAATTCAATTTTTATTATTTTAAAATGTGCTGTTAGTAATGCATAGAGGATAACTTTTTCAGCTGTGGCATGAAAGTGTTGCATGCTTTGGAAAAATTTGGAAGTTCTCCCAGTAAAAAATAATGTGAGTAGTAGAAAGTATGTTTTGACCTTAAGGCAGATGAAAAGGTTTGGAGCGGGGCTATTTGTTATTAGTGGTTAATTTTGCATTACTCAAATGAAGTTGTCTCTCATTAATTGTAGATATTTTTGTTATTTTGGGTAGTTTTATTCTTTTGTAAGGGTTCAGCATCTGAGCCATAAAACAGTCAAAACTAATTAAGCTTCACATTTTGGCTGCCTTCAAACTTCTTAAAGATTGGTTCTCTTTTGGCACTTATTTATAGTGCCAGATCTTGCACTGGATGACCAGGAGCAAGTGGCGGCTCCAGCCATTCTACTCTAAGGTAACCACAGCAAAGATAAGATGCTTCTCAATTGTAGGAATACTTTGGGAAACTATGTGCTCAGTGAAGGCCAGATGGTTTTACAGGAATACCCAAAATCCCACTTGCCTGCCTAAGTTACTACAAAATCTGTTTTTCTTCTTTGTTTCTAATGACTATGTATTAATTTCTGATAGCCAGCATGATAACAAATATGGCAGCATCTTTGGAGAGAAACCAAAGTTAAAGTATCAAGTCCCTTTGAGTGACTCATGGATCCACTGGATTCAACACATTAACTCTGTTTTCTCTCCACAGATGCTGCCAGACCTGCTGAGTTTCTCCAGCAATTTCTGTTTTCATTTGTTTCAGATCTCCAGCAACCATAGTTCTTTATTTTATGATAACAATCCCACCCAGCTTTTCAAGACTTTTGTAACTACCCATGCAGTTAGTGGTTATATTCAACACTGGAAACGTCATGTGAACCCAACAATTTTTTATTTTTGTTTTTGTCTAAGTTATTGTTACTTTTTTTCCTGTGTTCCTGGTTGACAACAGCTATCTATGTATTGAACACTTGGTTTGAAGTGAACTATATTTACAGCTTAAAGTATTTAGAAAATGAATATTTGTTTTTCCAAAGGACTTTCAGAAACTGGCGTTCTAGTCAGCATTGCATTGCAGAAAAATAAAATACTTGTCCAGATAATTGTTGTCTTATCTATGGCCACTGCAAATAACCATAAAAATTATTTCAACTGTTAGTAAAATTACATTGTGGATTAGCATGTGAGAGAAGTTTCAAATTAGAATTGTCATTATTTTCCCAGTTACACAGTGGGGAAATTCACAATCTGTGTGGTAGTCACTATACCATGCAAAGGGCTTGTGTTCAACATCAGGGTTTCAGTTTCCAGTTTTCTATAGAAATGGGGCAATGAGAGATTAGTTATCCATTTTACATTATTCTTGATCTCCCTTTCCATTGATTAGCACAAAGAAAAATCGGGCAGGGTGTAAATTGCTGTCTAACCCCTTACCATGAAAATTATTAAAATAAATCCTTTGGTGTGTGCTGCATCATATGACTCAGCTACAACATCCTAGATGGCTGTACAATTTGCCTTTACATCCTAGGACTGAAAAAAGTAAAAACATGATGACTGTAAAAGGTGTGTGTTTGAATGACTGGTAAAGTTTGGATAGGGCTCTCACCTGATGGTGCCAAAATCAAAGTCATTCAAACACAGTCATCCAAATGTGAGGTTTCTCTGCATGAATCAATAGAAATGAAGACATAAACAGAGGCAATTTTTAAAAAGAATTATTTCCAGCTACTATCTGCATCCTCACTACTGAGAGACTGAGTGAAAATGGCTATAGTATGTTTATATTTCACAAGATTCTTGAAGTCCCAGAGAGCAGTAATGTAATATAACGCAACTAAGAAATAGCATTGTGTCGCGGCTGCATAACATCAGTTTATCCTTGATTGAAATTTTATTAAATTTATCTAATCCATTTAGATGACGAACTGTATAATGTTGTAAAGAAATCTAAAATTACATATTAATTGTGGAAGCTTGCCTCAATTTTGCAGTCTTTATACTGCACAATGATACCATACAATAACATCAGAAATAATTGGAAGTGATGTCTAAAGATGTTTCATGCTGGTATTGTATGCATCTTGCATGTGTCACTTGATTGTAATTCAATTATGAAATTTATAGCTGACTAATTCCGCAGAAGGTTTTCCTTATGCTCGTGAAATGAAACAATATATGAGGATCTAGTGGTCATATTTTCCTGAAACTATTTAATGATTGATGGGAGGTCAAAAACCCATTCACATTTGATGTCATGGAATGTCATTTTATGATAATAAAACTGCGATAAGGAGCAGTTCAAGATTACTTGATGTATATTAACAAAACTTCCTGAATACCTGGACATGATGAAACAAATTTTAGGCCCAATTTTAATTTAGGACAGACAGTGGGGGAGGGTGCACTGTGAATAAAAACGAAAGAGCTGCGGATGCTGTAAATCAGGAAACGAAACAGAAATTGCTAGAATAGCTCAGCAGGTCTGGCAGCATCCGTGAAGGAAAAAACAGAATTA